CCGAACGCGCATTTCATCAGGGAATGAAATGCGGGTTCGAGTTCTGTTTGGCTTTCAAAGTTATGCATGAGCGATGACTCAACTTGTTTGGAAATCATTATGATGTCAAAGAAAAAAAACCACCTACCGTATGATGTTATTGCACTGTGCCAGATTAAAAGACAAAATTTTAATAAAATTGCGTGATATGCCTCCTAAAAAGTGACAAAGAATTATTCACACTCCACCAAATAAAGCAATAACTCGGTGGCGCATACTTTTAAACAGTACGATCTCTAACGTATTTCTGAAGAAACCACTTGAGAGAGTTTATAGTAGTTTACATGTCCTCAAACTTATATAGATGTTGTGAGGTCACTTGATCTGCATATCAGTGTCCTATTTGTCTCTATGGTGCTCGAATTCCATCACTTCATGATTGATTTTGCTGCTCATGCAATTTTTATCTGAGGAGGTAATTGTGGTCATGTTGAGTTCGGCGTGAATTCTAAGATATATCATTGACATCTAAAGTTCAGGCTGAGCACGTTTCCTCTCAATTTCCGACGCAGCCGCAAACTTTTTGGATTCCTTAGCTCTAGCAGTCGTTGATCCACGTAAATTGAATTGACCAATGTATTCGTAATTTATGCTTCATAGTTCTGCTTATTCTTGCACTACTGATTTTGTATGATATCACTTATTCATTCAAAAACTTATCCGAATAACTGTATTCATTTATAAAGATCTCGTCGTTTTACTGCTTTTTAGCGTGTTATGATATTATAATTATACATTCAAGAATATTGAGTGGCATGCAAAACATTCAACTTCGGGCCGAGTTAAATTCACGTTTCAACCTAACCAGTTCCGAAAGAGTGGCAGCCAACCTGTGGCTTCATTAGTGCAGTGGTAGCTCATGGCCTCCGATCTGGGTGAAAGTTGGGTTCAACTCTAGCCTGTGGTTGAGTGTAATGCACATCAACCAATATTCTTGGGTGCATTGGGCTGCTATTTATTCGAAGAAATTAACCAATCAAAATTATAAACCAGTATGACCAATGCTGTGCAACCTCTGATGAGCAAAAATTGGATGCCATTCTCCCAGAAAGGATGAGGATAGCGGTCAAAAGAGCAAATATATTCACTTTGGAACTGGCCTTAGTTTCTAAATTTTTCCTCCCTCACGCGGATACTGGTTCAAGGCGAAGAACAGACGATAATCTGATGGAGCAATATGACGGCTATATGGTGGATGTGGTAAGTGTTTCGGTCCAGTTTCTCCAAATGTTGCGAGTGGACTTTGCATTGTGAGGTCAAATGTTTTCTTAGGGCGATACTGAGTGGTTTTGGATGCTTTTCCTACACTGCTGCGCCCAACTTCCGGAGTTGTTTTTCGTTGATGTCGGCAGTGATTACCTGATTGTTGTCGAGCACTTCCTAAAACTGCATGCCTTGCCAACCCGAGAAAAACGAGAGCATAATCTTCCGAGCATGAAACTTCGGCTTTGCTTGAGCTAGCGGATTTTGTCACAAGAGAGCCAATAGACTGGAGTGTTGTTCTTCCACTAGCCCAGGAGTTATCCTTAGTGATGATCAACTTGAGAATTTGCTTGTGAGGTTGCAGAGAAAGGCTCTCAAATGGTTACACGTTCACCGTGGTCGTGGTCGCTTAGTACATGAGATGTCCGCAGAGATATCACTTTGTGGTATCTCATTTCACCCACACGCTTGCTTTTTATACCCTCCTGGCTAGAGCTATTAAATTAAACATAACCACATTTGTAAAAAAAGTATACTATCAAGCGGCATATTCATTGATGCATATACCGCAATTCTTTCCATGCCAACCTGATAACAGAACATTCTGAACACATCACTGCCTTTCGGTGATAATCCACTTATAAATGATGTAGTCCATGTTTTGTATATAACTATGGAAAACCCTGATTCAAAAAAGACAGAATCGCACGAGGTAATAATAGTAGGGAAAGCAAAAGAAATTTCTCATATGTAACAGTCATGTTTGGCAAATGTGGACTAGAGAGATAAAATGTAATAGAACATATTTGCACATACCGCATCTTTTCCAGCCTCATCACTGGAGTATGGGATAAAAAGGCACTTGTAAGGAACACATTTGGAATCATGGTTGATGTGTATATAGGAAGTGAGGGCAAAACTCCTTAACTGATGGGAACTCGAGGGACTACTAGGTATAAAGAAATGAAACATAAAACACGCTATATTGTTAATGCCGATATCTTCCCATAAGAACAGCCTATAATATGGTATATATTTCATAAATTTAAATATCCATATATATGCATAGATACATATATGTATATATAATGGTATTTCTGCCTAGATATGTGTATGAAATAACTGTCGGATCTAATTCTAGCTAATCTGTTGTGAAAGTCGATAAGTATTTTCAGGAAAGCACTTTCAAAAGGCAAAACTAACGTCGCGTCGGAAAACATGAATAAGTGACAAAAACATCTTATACTGATAATGCACATTGGATTAATGTCGAATACAAGAGCTGTGATTGCCGCCGATGACATCTAAGATCTCAATTTTTGAAAAAATCTCCGAGTAATCTGGAGGGAAACAAGGTTTACCACACATATTTGTATGAGGTGACGTGAATTACTTCTAAACCTGTTGTGCACTTCTATTAGATCACTACTAGCCGATAGCTATTCCGTTACATTATCGAGGTCGGTGTACAATAATTTTCTGAGAGATGGGTTCGTTCATCAGCCACAAATCAAAAGAGAAAGTAAGAGAATCAGGTGACTGTATAAAAGAAACGTATATGTAGCGAGCAGAACAAGTGAAAATGACGACAAAATTCACTTCGAAAAAGATAGAGAAATTGTTGCTCAAAATCCGGGATGTATAGGAAGATTTGTGGCGTAAAACCACACACCTTTTACAGTTTGCCCAGTAGCCACAATGGGTGGCCCGTTCGTGATTGGGGCGGGAACCAATTAGAGCCCCGCCTACTACTAATCAGTTCAAACCAATATGTGCTCATAGCGATGATTTACGCGGTTAAAAATGTTCTTTCAATCGCAGGAAGATTCTTTTAGAATCTTGTTACTCAGAGGAGAAACCCGAATTCAAAGCTTGAATTATTTTAATGTTTTCACATTTTTTGCTAACATTTCTCTTTTCGCATTTCTAATGACACTCGCTCTTCATAACTACACATACAGAGCCATTTTATTATTTCGTAGTATCCTCGCTCTAGGTTGTTTCGGAAACGATGTATGTTACGTTTGTTTTTTATGTAAATTGCAAAACTTAATGAGTTTCACATCTCCGCAATGACAAAGGTAAGAAAGTGGGAACTTCTATAAAAAGAAACTGCTCAAAAGAACCAATTTTTCAAAGCCTACGTCACAAGTAGTCATAGACATGTAAAAGGCTAAAAAAATTGTCCAAGTGACTAGGTCAGGTCGGTCAAAACAAGCATGGCCTTTGATTCGTCTTCGCCTCACGTCGGCAAATTTCTCATTTTTTGGGGGATGCAAATTGTCACAATAATTCCTTGCAAAAGTTTCTTCCAACTCACAAGTTAAGCGGCTGCGATTATACGATGCTACCCAACGATAATCAACGATCACTATTCAAGGAAATTCATGAAGCTGGCATATTGATGAAGTTATAGACAAGCTCGCAACCTTCTAAATGTCATGCGTAAGTTTTTTTCACACATGGCAGTCACTATACAGCTATACAGATGAATCCTTTCAAATAACATTTTGATAACAAGAGCTATTCTAGATTTCAAAGCCTGACGAATTAACAGAAGAGTCTTCGAAATACGAGAGCATGTGGCACAGTAGTCAGAAGTGCTCTGTGTCGCGTGCAAGGTCAATGGTTCAATCTCGCCTCATGGGTGACCGAGCCATCCATCCCTACCGCGCTGGTAAATTGGTGCTAGACTTGTTTGCGAGAATAAACAGCACTGACTCGATATATTGGTACACCACAGACAGTCCTTATAAAGATCATTTATGCATTCAGCCACCCCAAACGAAGTAAAAAATTGAAGAGAAACGCATAGTGCCTCCCTCAGAGATTGGTGAACGCCGAGAGGTTGATCTTTTACCCTTTCACTCTAAAATATCATCTCCAAATGATTTTCCTCAAAGTAACCTTTAATCTTAAATTGATTAAAATTCACCAAATGATGAATGAATATTTGATCTGCAATACATAAGGCATAGCTAAATGCCATTATCTGTGCAATTACTTTCAATGTATAGAGTTCGAATCTTATTTACAACGATTTTTTTCGAATTCCAAAAAAGAGTTATTTTAATGGGCCATAGTTTATTATTATATGTCGACAAATACTCAATGATTCAACAATGTGTAAAATGGCAGAAAACATTCTACTCCGATATTTGCTTACTCAAATCTGTTTTCAAATACCTTTGCATTGGAATCAGTGCATCAGTGCAAATGATTGCAAATGTGCATCCCATTCAACCACATCATCTCAAAATTCATGCACTTTCGAAAGAGTCGTTTCTGAAGAGAGAAAGAAATTGCCTTGTTTTTGTCAATATCGAATATCATACAGAACATTCTATACATTTTACATCATCTAAGGAACTTTTGAAGGAAACTATATAGGCATGTTGGCTAGTTTTGATGTCTTGCCTTAATGTCTTGACAAACAATTCCATTGACTTTCTCAATCAAATTTCTGCCATTTAATATCGTTCTAGGGCTTCGTTTCTACTTAAGAATGGAGACTTTTGCCGTATTAAGGTGAACATTTGTCTAATTTGCATCCTCACATGCCTACTGTTATAACTTATTTCATTTATCGAGTTCATGCACATGTTAAGGCGTACTGAGTTGCCTGATTGAGGAAGTCAGTGGAAGTCCTTTTGTTGTGAAATACATAAAAACATTGAACGGCAATTTTTGGTGCCGTTGGCGGTTGGTTGGTAGTAGTCGATGCTTTCTGTAGAAGAATAAGTGATGGCGAAACGGGAGCGTTGGTAGTGCAATTGGTTAACACGCGCTCTCGTAATGAGTGAAGTGAGAGATCGATTCTCGCTTGGCGTTCAAAGAGTTGCATTTCTCAGCATTTTTGGATACCAAACGGCAACGTCTTTCAATAGATTCATTGACTAGGGTGGAGAATCAAAGTTGTTAAACTTTGTGAACAATCCTTGATTATATGGCAGCAAGTAGATTTCACGAGAACGACTCGGACTTTGATTCAGTTTTTTGGTCTATGTAATCCTGTATAGAGATCAGCTGTAGGTTATCCAGCGTGGTTATGTATTCCGCATCCGGGCAAACTTTCTTCCCACGATAAGTAAATAGAGGAAGAACTCTCGTACGTTTCTGAGAGGTTTTTGCAAAGGCAGTGTGCCGAATCTTTTAACGCGACAAGAGTGCTACATGTCCTTTGTGTTCGTTTTTACAGCGAGCGCTAGACACCCTCCTTGATAGTTTCATAGCGGTCACAGTTCAAATGCATAGTCGTTGAAGTCCTAGTCAGTCTTTAATGTCTTATTAACAGAAGTTGTACAGAGTCCAGTAGTTGGCTAATAATTCCTATAGAGGTAGTATTTTCTCTTCCTTCTTCAATAAATCAGATCAGACGCAATTAAGCACTTTACTGATTTGAAACGAGTTTTTTCGCCTTGAGATTAGAGCATTATCACAGTACAATGGCTTTGCAAAGGTTTACTCCTAACTCAGCATATGAATGGAAATAAGGAATCCTTTCTCGGTTTAAGAAAAGCCCTGGTGGTGTCGCTCTATAAATTGCAGAAGACAAACAGGCATAGCCCACCAACCAAAATGGAGCATCAAGCAGAGACTTCTTGAAGTAATCGGACAAATTTATGATAAAAATGTGGCTGGAAATGTTTTATAAGCATTTGTATTTGTCGAAAGGTAGGGAAAAATTTTTCTCTTCAAAACAATTATAGGATACAAAGTTTTGTGTCTAATGAGTACACTAATGAGGAATTTTCTCTAAAACGACAGGAAAACTTGGAGCAGTTTTTATTCCAAGGACTGCAAAAGAATTAAAATTTGCGAAATTACATACATTACGTCAGGAAGGCTTACATTGGATCAATACCCTCAGAAGACTACTTATTCAGCTTTTCAAGAAATATTTACTTTTCTTCTATGTCAACCCTTCGCGTTCACTGTGTGGTTTCCAGCACTTTTCCATTCAATTCACTTTCTCACAACATCTCAAGAACATCTTTGCACTTTTCACGTAAGCTTCTTTCGGCGACTGCTTCACAATCGTCGTCTGCTTTATGAATGTTGCTGATTACTAGTCGCGCTGATTCCTCCTTGTTGTCGGAACAGTGAGTTAAACTACTACTTGACAGTCTCGTAACAAATTCTTAACTCCGAAGGAATGAAAGGCTTGTGAAGCATAGGCGGAGTGCAAACCAGCGCTATGTCCGTGAATATCGAAATCTATTTCTGTTCCAACCAAACCCTCATCTGATGCAATCAACACAAAAGTGGTAAGCAACGAAAACATATAGGATTCCATAAACTAAAACTTGACCTCTATTTTATCTTCTCACTTGCATCAGTATCAAAGTAGGTTCTCGCTCTAGGGATTCTGAGCACCATGCCTTGCTTCTAAGGTTTCCGCAAAGAAATTCGACCACAGAGATGGTGAATTTCTGCCACGTATCTGACTCTATGTAATCCAGTCGGCAAGGGCTCTTGTAGATCTGTTGTGTTTTGAAACGTTTAACGTGTTCGAGCTACCTCATTTCGTTACTTTGGACTATAAAACGCTGCTCTCATTATTTTCGAACACTAGTGCAGGCCGCAGATCCTAATTACCTCTCTCACTTCATGACACGCAAAACTCCTATCACTGTCCTTTCTACAACACATTCGATAACACATAAGTATCTTTCAACCTGCTTTATTAGCGACTACGTCTCTAACTCATATGTTAAGATAGAAAAAATTGTTGACTTGAAAAGGTGGGCACGCATGCGGGTGTCTTTTCTTCTCTTAACTGCATCCTTAATGCTCATGGAGCACCATAAGCCAATTGCTTTCTCCTGCTTAAGTGAGAGTTATCTTTTTGTTATGTTCACTTCTCGATCTATGCAAATTTATGTACAGTGTCCGGAGATAATCATTCTATCAAGCGTTAATGGGACATCAGAACCAATCAGGCCACATAGGTACCGTATTCATGAAATTAAGTTGGAGACCAGTAATTTCACAAGCGTTCTCAAAGTCGGCCAGTGCTCGTTCTACCTGCCTGATGATCGGTCTTAAAAACCAAGTCAAAACGAAGATGGTGTAATTGTCGACAATCGATTTTCACTTCACATTGCCCCATTCCAGTGTTCGCATAGCGTTTTAGAGGGTGGCGGTAAATAATCTTGGCAAAGTGACATTGCCTTACTGAAACCCTCTTTTAGACTCGACGATAATATTGCTGCAGACTAGTGATTTTCCAAGTCTGAAAACTTTATATAACTCGCCAAGAATCTTCATGTCCTTAGTAAGGGGAGTCTTGGTGTCCACAGCTTTCTACATTCTTATGTCTCCAATATGCCGGAAAAAAAATCTTAAGACCGTATTTCTACTAATTTCGACGTTGATCAAATAATGAAGCTTTTTTCGATGACAATATATGAGGCTGTTAACAACAAGATTTTTTCAGAACAGTACTATCTGACGATTCGCCTCTATCGCCTTTATAAAAGGGTGGGAAGGTCAAATTGAAAATCAATAGACACAGTAAAACATATACATTAAATAATTGTATCACCTGTATCACCTGTCGTCCCGTTGATCGTCGAGTGACTCGAGCGGGTACCAGCAACTCTTCCATTTTTCCCTATCGCGTGCAAGAGTAGCCCAATAGGTCTTCCTCGCTCTAGGAATTCGCTGAGCATCATATCTTTCTCCTATCGCTTTCGTGAAGAAATCGGACCAGCGGGTGAGTGGTCTTCCTTTAGAGCGCTTGACGTCCCGAAGGAATCCAGTCGGTAACGGCTCTCGTCCATCGGTTGTCGTTGAAGCGCATCACGTGTCCGGCCCACCTTATTTTCGATGACCTAGCGTGTAGAACGGCGTCTCCGATTTTCGATCGTTGACGTAGGTCGGAACTTCGGATCCTTTCTCTCATTTGCGAGATACGGGATACTCTAGCATCGACCTTTCGACTGCGCGTTCGATAACGGCAAGTGATCTTTCATCCTGCTTACGTAGCGACCAGGTTTCTGCTGCATACGTCAGGGCAGGGATAATTGTCGAGTCGAAAAGGTGGGCACGGAGTCGGATGTTCTTCGTCCTCTTCAATACATCTTCGGTGCTCTTAAATGTTCCCAAGCCGCTCGTTTTCCTCCTGCTCAACTCTGGAGCTAGGTCGTTCATCATGTTGATTTCACGACCTAGATAGACGTAACTGGAGCATTCGGAGATTGTCGTTCCGTTGAGCGTGAATGGGGCATTCGAAACTCATCCGTTCCTCATGAACATCGTTTTCGTTATTTAGTTGAAGACCAATCTTTCCACAGGCGTTATCGAAATCGGCCAACATTCGTTCCGCTTGGCTGATGTTTGGTGTTATGAGAACGATATCGTCAGCAAAGCGAAGATGGTTTAATTGTCGACCGTCAATTTTCACTCCCATTTCGTCCCATTCTAATGTTCGCATGACGTTTTGTAGGGTGGCAGTGAATAGTTTTGGCGAAATTGTATCGCCTTGTCGAATCCCTCTTCTTACGTCAATGGTGATATTGTTGTAGAATGGAGATATTTTAGTCGTGAAATCTTTATAAAGCTCACGAAGGATCATTATGTACCGAGTAGGGACGCCCTGGTTATCCAGAGCCTCTATAACTGCTAAAATAATTGTAAGGTGAGCAAAAATAGTGGTGGCGTGAATGTACGTCGGTGGTGTAGTGGTAGCACACTCGCCGGTGTGGATGAAGCACGAGTTCGACTTCCGTCTGAGGCCGTATTTTGCCCACCGCTCAACCCCTAGGTATATATGGAACATCATAACACTGCGAAAAGGCAGTAGGAAAACCAGAGATTTTCCAGTGAAGTACTTTGAAGTTTTTGCGGAAAAACCTTGTCAAGCAAATTTTAGTATGCATAGTTAACAGCTTCTTCTAAACGCTCACCGCTTTGTTCTCTTAAGCCTTTCATAGCATTTAATTATACTAACTGGAGACAAGCTGCACAGAGTCTTGCATGAGTTAGGAATGTGCCTGACGCAAGCCAGAAAAATCAAAATGAGATATGAAGCGAGCCACGCGCTATCATCTAACACCCTTTGCAGCGATTCATCCCTATATTTCTGGGAAATTATCCAAATCCATCAAGGTTTTTGATGGAGATGTTTCAATTCTGAACCAGGTTTTTTACGCTTACGTCGTAAAAGTGTTCCAATAGGTACAGTACGTGTTAATTTGACCTTTCTGAGCTTAGCAAGAGGCGAAACCGGTAGAATAACGGCCACTTATGCATTGAGTAAGTCTTGTTAGTTACAAATTGTGCTATAGGTTATAGAAACAGTGAATGACAAGCACTTCTCAAGTAGATATAAAGTGAGCCAGAGCGATACTTTCTGGTTTCGCAATGCGCCAGTGAGTCTTAATGACGTGCACATATGGTTCATAGAGCTGTATTTCTTTCGAGACCCTACTTGCCCCAGTTGACGTTCTTCATCCAGTACTTTAGCACTTCTATTTAGGACATCTTAATTACAGAAAAGAAGGCAGATGGCAAGTAGATTTAAAGTGACATTTGCAGGCTTCCTAGTTGAACGATCACACTGGCTTAATGGCCTTCCACTGAAAAAGAACTTTGCAATCCAACATGTACCGTATAAACAACTGAGTCAGCTTATCATAACTTTCGTTTCGAGTGTTTTCTCAAAACCACAGCTCAAATTTCGATATGCCTGGTAATCATTTTTGGGTCTTGAGAAAACACTCTTCATTCTTTTGGTCTCGAAACGAAAGTTATGATATATTAAATATACTAGCCACGAGCAATCGAGTGTACAACATTCTGTGTTCGGTGATAATTTCACTGGACAT